CCCTGGAGATAAGGTGTAGCTTGGGCCCAGGGTCATGCCTGGCTGTGTTGGGTGGGAGGGAAGCATCTGGTGCAGAAAACTCGGGGCCTGCATGTTTACAAGGTCTGTGTTCTAGCCCTTGGAACCACTTCTCCAGCCCCATAAGGACCCTCAGTTTTATTCCAAGAGGCAGCCTCCTCCTGAGGGGTGAGGCTCTTACATGCAGTCCACCTGGCTTCAATCCCTGGCACCACGTACGGTCCCCTGAGCCCTGAACACAGAGCTAGGAGAAAGCCCTGAGCACTTTCAGGTACAGCTCAAGAAAAGAAACCTTTTTTTTTTCTTTTTGGGTCACACTCAGCGATGCTCAGGGGTTCCTCCTGGCTCTGCACTCAGGAATTCGTCCTGGCAGTACTTGGGGGACACTATGGGATGCTGGGAATCGAATCCGGGTCGGCTGCATGCAAGGCAAACGCCCTCCCCGCTGTGCTATTGCTCAGTCCCCAGGGTCCCTGATCTTGTACATGCTGAGTTCTGTCTTTAGCTTTGCTCGCTTGTTAGTTTGGGGGCCTCACCCAGCAGTGCTCAGAACCCCACGGCTTGCTCCTGGAGGTGCTCAGGGAGACCCTGTGGTGTTCAGGGTGGAGCCCCAGGCTTCCCACATGCAAATTCTGTCAATCATCTTTGAGTTGTCTCTCTGGCCCCTCTTTGGACTCCGGAGGGGACCCAAACCCAGGCCGAGAAAAAGGGTCCTGAGGTGGGTGTGGGAGAGGGAGGGCCCTTCTCCGACCTGGGTCAGTATCTGCCTGGCACTGCCCTCCCCCACCCCCTGGGGGGCATGGAACCGGCACCTGGAAGATGGGGAGGCGCCCTCAGGCGCCAACCGGGGTGACTGCTGTCTGCAGCCAAGGTCCCCGAGGCCACCCCTGGGAAGAATAAGAGCAGTTCCCTGGGGTCCCACACTCCTCAGGGGACCCTTGTATAACTTGTTCATCCCCCAGCTACCTATTCTCTGGAGCTCCTGCCTTCCTGCTCTGTGGAGGGGCTGTTGGCAAGAGGATCTCTTTTTTACTTTTTGAGTTTTGGACCTACCCAACAATTTACTCTTTTCTTTTTGGGTCACACCTGGCGATGCACAGGGGTTATTCCTGGTTTTGCACTCAGAAATTACTCCTGGTGGTGCTCAGGGAACCTTATGGGATGCTGGGAATCGAACGCTGGTCAGCCGCGTGCAAGGCAAACACCCTACCCACTGTACTATCACTCCAGACCAACAATTTACTCTTGGCTCTGCACTCAGGGATCAATCCTGGTGGTGCTCAGGGCACCCTATGGGGTGCTGGGGTTTGAAGCAGGGTTTCCTGTGTGCAAGACAAGAGTCCTGTCCACTGTACTATTTCTCAGGTCCTAGAATGAGGGGTTCGTGTAGGGGAGAGAGGTCTGGAGTTGATTCTAGCTGCTGGTTGGTTCAGCCTCCATAGAGCTCTCCCCAAGGTCCCAGCTTTTCTTTGTTCTTTTTATTTTCTGTTCTTTGGGGGGGAGGTGCTCAGAGTTTCCTCCTAGCTCTGTGCTCAGGGATCAATCCTGGCAGGCTACAGGGACCCAATGGGTCTTGAACCTGGGTCTGCTCTGTGCCAGGAAAGTGCTCTACCCACTGGACTATCACTTCAGTTCTGGCTTTCTCTTGAATTTAGTATCTGACTTGCCCCAGCACAAACACCCCTGGCTGCCCACCTCTGAGTGAAGAATGAATGAATGAATGAATGAATGAGTGAAGAATGAATGAATTTCCACATTCATTGAGAATCAAGAGTGCGCAGGACCAGGAGCTGGTACAGGGGCAAAGGGGTTGGGAGGACCCCGGAGGGACTGGGGCAAATGTCAGTTATGAAGGAGGGATGGGGCCTAAGTGAGAGAACTCAAAAGTGCTGAGAGCTTGCAAAAGGCCTGGGTTAGATTCCCAGTGCCCCCCCACCCCCCTTCAATTGCCCCCCCATCACTCCAGCACTGGCAGTAGCTCAAGAGCACTTGTCGGGTGTGGCCCCCAGACTGCACTTGGGGAGATGCATCTGATTGAGGGTGAAGAGGAAGGAAGCAGAGAGAGCGAGCGAGAGCGAGAGTGAGAGCGAGAGAAAGAGAGAGAGAGCGAGAGCGAGAGAGAGAGAGAGAGAGAGAGAGAGAGAGAGAGAGAGAGAGCGCGCATAGGGCTGTGTGGTAGGCCTGGCACTAATTCTGGGACTACAGCAGGGCCAAACACATCTGGCAGGGACCACGTTGCCAGGCGCTCATTCTCTGCAACAGGGGTCACCACCGGTGGAGAGGGGGCATCAGTCTCTTTCCGGGGTTACTTCCCCCTCCCCAGGAAAGCACCCTCCCTCCCTGCCTAGGTGACCACTTTGCTGGGAGCTTCTGCTGCCTCCAAGAGAGGTGGCTTCTCTGGGGCACCCCGAGCGCCAGGCAGGCGGTCCTGAGAAGGACGGGAGGAATGGAAGGACTTGCAGCGTGCAGGGCACCCGCTGCTAAAGTGGCCATTTTCCCAGGTGGGCTTGGGGTGATCTGCTGGAAGGGCTTGAGGAAGGTGGGGGGGGGGGGGAGAATCACCACTGGGGCAATAATTATGCACATTTACTAAGCCCCGGGAGGAATGGGAGTCACGTGGCTCTGGAGGGCGGCGCCCTTCGGCTTGGGCTTGGAGATGGAGTGAACTATCTAATCACTGAAGACTTTCTGGAGGAGGCGGAATTTTTATGGCGGCCGAGTGTTTTTTTTTTTTCTTCCCCTCCTTCTGGGTAGCCAGGATGCTCTTAGCACCCTCGGGACCAGCGAGCTCCCGAGGTGAGCTCGGTGCCCGGGAACAAGTTGAGGCGGCGGGGGTCGAGGCAGGCTAGGGTGGGAAAGGGAAGGCCAGGGAGCTCGGGTTCCCGGGCCTCCGGGCCTCGGTCGTCTTGGACCATCATCAGCCGCGCTAAGGCCAGTGCCGCGGGCACCCTCCGACGCCCCCCGCCCCCCCCCAGCGCTGGAGGCCGGTCTCGAGGTTCCCCTGCGCCCCAGCGCCCCGGGTCCAGGCCGGTGGCGGGGCGCGGGGGGGTGGGTGGTGGGTGGTTCGGCCCGGTGCGGTGTCGCCCCGATGCCCGCAGGGGTCCGGCGTGCGCGCCCCGGGGGAGCCGGGCTGTAACCGAGCCGAGCCGAGCCGAGCGGGGCGGTTTGGGGCGGCCGTGGCCGAAGAGGCCCCCAGGGGCGGGAGGGCGAGATCCGCAGTGTCCACGGTGCGAGGCGCGGCTCCTCGGGAAGGCTGGGGCTGGGGGCGGGTGTGTGTGTTTTGGGGGGGGACACCCCGCGTCCCGGCGTCCCCGCACCTCCAAACACGCCCGCCCGCGGCCTGCGAGCCCCCGAGGCCAGGCCCAAGCCCAGCCTGGACGCGGGAGGCGGCGCAGGGAGCGGTGCTGGGCGCCGGGGGGACCCCTCCCTCCCCTCCCGCTCCCCCCTCGCCCCGCCCGAGGCGCCGAGGGCCCCCCGGGCTCCGGGTGGGTGGCGGTGCGGGAGCGCGGCGTCGCCGGGCCGGGAAGTCGGGCCCAGCGGGGCGGCAGGCCGAGGTGCGGGCGCGCTGCTGTCAGGCGGCGGCGGCGGCGGCGGCGGCGGGGGCGGCGGGGTGCGCGGGGGGCGCGCTCCGAGCCGGGGGCTGGGGGGGCGCCGGGCGCGCGGGGATCCGGCCGGGTAACCCGAGCCGACCCGGCTCCGGGCTGAGCCGCTCACCCCGCACGGCCCGCGGCGTGGCGGGGGTGCAGCGGGGCGGCGGTGAGAGCCGCCGGCTCCGCGGCCCGGCCCGGCCCGGGGACGCCGCCAGCGACCGGCCCAGCGGGGCGTCGGGGCCCGCGGCCCGGGGAGCCCCGTGGGGCGGCCCCGGCCGGGCTCGGGGAGGCCGCCCCGAGCCGCTGCCTCCATTTTGTTTCCTGCTCAGCCGGGGCTGTGGGGCTGGTGGTGTGGGTTTGGGGTGCGGCCGGGGGGTTCACCTGCGGTCGGGCCGGCTCGGGGCTCGAGGCCTGGGAGACCCCGGCCCCTCCCCGCCGAGCACCCCCCCAGGTGAGCCCCCGGCGGGCCCGGAGACGGGGTTGTGGGGGGTGGCGGGGCCTGAGCGTCGGGCCGAGACGAGCGGGCCCAGGGCAGGTGCCCCGTGCGCGGGGGAGCCCGGGCTGTAACCTAAGATGGAGGCCGGGGCGGCCCGACTGCGGGACCGGAGCGGGGCGGGCGGGTCAGGCCGCAGCCGGGCCAGGTGCCCCCGCCGGGCTGCTGGGGGAGGGGGCGGGTGAGGGGGTTCAAGTCGGGGCGGGGCCAATCTTGGGCGTGTGTGGGGGGCACGCGTCTGCGCCCCCAAGGGAGGCGTGGGGACGCGCCGGCGAGTGCCACCCACGACGCCCGCCAGGACCCCAGCCACTCCGGGGAGGCGCGCGAAAGCCCCCCTGGGAGCAGCGCCTGGGGCCGCGCCCGGGCGACCGACTGGGCCCGGGGAGGCCTCGGGGCCGCGCGTGGACGCGCGCGCGCCCCCCAAGGGGGGGGGGAAAGTGGTGGTGGGGGCGGCCGCGGCGCCGACGCTGATTGGGCGGCCTGTCCGCGAGCCCGCCTTCACCCGCCCTGAACCCCGGACGCGGGCCGAGGCGCGCGCACGCGCACGGGGTGGGTGGGGGGTGGCAGGCGCGCTCCGGGGTTCGGGGCCGCGCGCGCGCGTTTGTGCGTGCGCGCGCTCTCGGCCGCTCTCTGTGTGTCTGTGTGCGTGCGTGTGCGCGCGCGTGTGTGTGCGTGCGTGTGTGTGTATGTGTGTGTGTTGTGAGGGGGGGCGGCCCGAGCCGCCGCACGCGGGCCGGCGCGAGGCCGCTCGGTCGCACGCGCCGCGGCGGGGGCGCGCGCGGTTGGGGGTGTGAGGCGGCGGCGGCGGCTGAGGCGGCTGAGGCTGAGGCTGAGGCTGAGGCTGAAGCTGAGGCTGAGGCCGAGGCCGAGGCCGCGGCCGGGGCAGGTCGCGCTCGCTCGCTCGCCCGGCGGCCGCTGAAGACAGACGCAGGGGGGGAGGGGGGTGCGGCGAGCCGCCCCGCTCTGGTCCCCGGCGCTGCGCTCGCGGCACCCCGTGTCATGAGGGTCACCTCCTCCCCCGAGCCGGCCCGGGAGGGGGCGCGGGGCACGGTAACTAGTGCGCCGGGGTGGGCGGCGGGCGGGCGCTCGGGTGGGGGGGCGGAGAAGGGCGAAGAGGAGGAGGAGGAGGAGGGAGGCGGCCGGGCGGGGAAAGATGGTGGTGGCCGTGAGGTGAGGGGCGCCGGGGAGGCCCGGGCGCGGCGCGGGCTGGGGCGTGGGGGGCCGCGGGGCCCCCTTCCTCCATCACTACCAGCCGGGCTCGGGCCTAGCCGGCCGGGCCGCCCGCCCGCCTCAAACTTCCTCCCCGCCGGGCCCGCGCGCCCCGCGCTGCCCCGGGCCTGTCCTCAGGTAGCCGGCGCGGCCGCGGGGGCCGGCGGACGTGGAGCGGGGCGGGGGGGGGGGTGCGGCGCGGCGCGCGGAGCCGGGACCCCCCCATCCACACGCAGCCCCAACTTGGCCGACGGAGGCGGCGGGGGTCCCCCCTCCCCCCGAGGTGCTGCCGCGGCGGCGAAGGGAGCGCGGCCCGGGCAGGCGGCGGCGGCGGCGGCGGCAGCAGCCATGTTTGTCAAGCCGGAGCCGCAGCTGCCGCCGCCACCGCCGCCCGGCCCGGGCGCCCCCCCCGGCTGCCTCCGTTTCTCCGTTCCCCCCCCCCCATCCGTCGCGTCCACCCCGACTCCCTCCACTTCCCCGCAGCCGCCGCTACTGCCGCGCGGCCTCTGGTGCTGGGCTGGTAGGGGTGGGGTTGGGGGAGTTGGTGGGGACCCAGCTCGGCCTGCCACCAGCAGCCTGGGCGATCGACGTGGGTTCCATCCCGCGCGCGTGGGGATGTGGGGTGGGGGTCTCCCCACCCCCAATCTTTCCGCCTTGCCGGCCCGGCTCGGACTGCTGCCAGAAAAGGTTTCGGGCGCCGGCCGGGCGCTTGGGTGCAGCGCTATTGTGACCGCTGAGGCCCAGCGAGCCAGGAAGGAAGGAGCGGGGGTGGGGGTGGGGAGGTTGCGGGTCGCTTTTTTTGTGCCGCGGCCCGGGAGCTCCCATCGGAACCTCCCTCCAGTCTCCCTCCGTTCGAGAGGTCTGGGCTCTGGACTCCCCCCCCCACCCCCGCCCCACCGTCGAATCCTGCGGGAGTAGCGGTGTGGATGGGTGGGTGAAGGAGGCTGTTGCGGAGATCCGGGGCCTTCTCTCCTGCCACGGGGGTTTGCAATTTTCGTGCAGCCCCCAAAACTGTCCAGCAGCCTGCAGTGCAGGCAGAAAGGGCCGGGCTGTTTCCATGTGGCTGGAGCTGGGCCCCTGCCCGCGCCGGGAACATGGGAGTTTGCGAAGGCTCCCTGAGGCCATTTTCCCCTCCTCAGCTGGGGAACTTTTTTTTTTTTTCCCCCTGGAAGTGTGGCAGCAGCGAGGCTTCCAGGCCACTAGGCCTTGGGAAGTGGCTGCCATTTTGAAGATAAGCGTCCGAGGGCCTCTGAACTCAGATGATCATTGCTGTGTTTTTTTTTTTTTTTTTTTTTTTTGGATTATTCCAGGTTGATGCTGGCCCAGGATGGATCAGGCCTGTGAACTCCCTCGAAGCAATTGTCTGCCGCCGCCTTTTTCCAATTCAGTGAATTTCGATGCCCCTGAAGACACAGACAGCCCTTTCGGTAATGGTCAATCCACTTTTTCTGAGCCACTTAATGGGTGTACTATACAGTTACCGCCTGCCAGTGGAACCTCCCAAAATGCTTATGGACAAGATTCTCCGTCTTGTTACATTCCACTGCGGAGACTACAGGATTTGGCCTCCATGATCAATGTAGAGTATCTAAATGGGTCGGCTGATGGGTCAGAATCGGCTCCAGGCCCCGAAAACAGTGATTCAAGAGCCCAGATGCCACTTGGTTGCCCTGCCTTGCCTCCTGGACTTGCTGTGAATCAGGAGCCCTCTTGTAATAACTCCCCAGAACTCCAGGTAACAGTCTCAAAGATGCTCCAGAATGGCGTGCTGCACTCTGAGAATTTTCCTGGTGTGGACCATGCAGATGTAGATTCTGAAATGGACCCAGGCCAGCCCGTCCCAGAGGAGGAGAGGATAGAGGAGCTCTTTGAGGAGACCCAGACCAATGCCACCTGCAATTCTGAGCCTAAATCAGAGAATGGTAGAGCCGTGGCCATGGGAAATGAACAAGACGGCACAGCAGAGCGTAGACCCGGGCCAGGCCCAGCACCACTCTTGCCGTTAGCTCCTCAGACTGAACCACAGAAAAATAAGCAGAGGAATGACTTGGACGGCAGCGAGGAGAAAGCAGCCCCCATTTCACTAGGAGATACAAACGTTGACGTAGAAGAGCAATTAAATTCAATAAATTTATCTTTTCAGGATGATCCAGACTCCAGTACCAGCACATTAGGAAACATGCTAGAATTACCTGGAACTTCATCATCATCTACTTCACAGGAATTGCCATTTGTAAGCAGTTTTTGGTACCACTTCAATATATACACAATTGCATATTATATAACTGGCAATTTACGGGAAAATTCAGGAGTGTTTTGGTTCAGGTCGCTTATCAGTTCTCAGTTCAGTGCTGGGGCTGATGGTAAATTTGCAGTTTGGTGGGGGATGTGTGGAATTTTCTTTTGATTTAAAAAAAACATCTCAGTGGAATAAGTTTGGATCTTCAGTAACTCCCCATTGGGAGGGAGGTACCTATGACTGCAGCTTGGAAGGGCATTGGATTTTACGGGCATTTATTTGATTGAGCTTAGATTTCAGTTTTCAAGATGGAGGTGCCCGTTTGTTATTTTTTGTCTTAAGAGTTGGCTTTGACTGGCTGGAATCGTGAGTGTAATGAGCTGGTGATTGTGTGGAGGTTGGTTTGTGCATACATACATCTTGTTCGGGTGATGGCCGATTGTCTTTGCCACCTAGAGGAGAAGGCTGCCTTGGGCATTAGTACACATTTCTGAACCACTTGTTGATCTATGTTTTAGTTGTTGGATTGTATTTTTTTTTTTTATTTTTTCGGGCCATACCTGGCAGCGCTTGATTGGGGTAACTCCTGGCTCATTTCTGGATCAATGCAAGGATCATTTCTGGCAGGGCCCTGGGGACCCTGTGGGGTGCCAGGGATAGAATCCCGGGGGTTGGCTGCATGCAAAGCAAGCAGCTCCTCAAAGCCCTGCATTATCTCTTCAGGTCTTGGCCACTGCCCCCTTCAGAGTAGGCTCTCACTCCTCTTCCAGTTTGTAATTATGGAGTGAATAGTCTGTGGTGAAGAAGTGGAGAGAACAGCGTTGTTACTCAAGAAGAGTTGTTAGTTAGTCTGTTGTGGACAAGAAACAGGGGAATAGTCCTTTTCATTTGCTCTCTCCCGGTGCCAATGCTCAGATGACCGCTGGATGTCTTGTAGCTCTCCATGCTGCAATTTTTCAATCTACTACTACCTCATCCTTGAACTGGTTCCTTGCAGCTCTGGATACTTTTGAAATGGTTTCTGCCCAGACACATTGTGGCAGTCACCTGTGCTGCTGCTGGCATCAGAAGATGCCCCCTCCCTCTCAGCCTGAAATACTATGTAAAGGTTTTATCAGAGACAATTTTGTGGTGTGAGTGACTGACTTACTGCTTGGCTTCACATGGCGATCACTTCACCGTGGAGCTCTTCCATTCTTTAAAGTTAGAGGGAGAATGTGGGTGTGTCACTTTTGTTTCTGTTGATTCATGTCTTAAATATGCCTTTGTACTCTGGTTAGCTGAGTAGTTGGCAGATAAAAAATATTGTCTTGGTAGTTATCTTGAATCTGCATGGGCTTAGTTGGGGTTTTTTGCAGGGACATTTATTGGATGGGCTGTGTGGGCGGCCCACTATTGACACTATTGACTTTGGTGTTCAGATTAAAGACATAAAGTTTGTCTCCATATAATATAGTTTTGCCTTTCTTTCTTTCTTTTTTTTTTTTGCATTTTGGGTCACACCCTGTGATGCTCAGGGGTTACTCCTGGCTCTGCACTCAGGAACTATCTCCTGGTGGTGCTCAGGGGGCCTTATGGGATGCTGGGTATCAAACCCCGGTTGGCTATGAGCAAGGCAAATGCCCTCCCTGCTGTACTATCGCTTCAGTCCTTACCTTTATTCTTACGTAAAAACCTAGATCTGATGGTGGAGATAGATGTTGAGAAGTGTACACACCTGTCTGGTTCTCATCTTGGAGAGGTCAGTGTATACATTTCTTTGTTTCTCTTTTTTTGGTTTTGGGCTACACCCTGTGGTGTACTTGGGGGTTCATAAATGCTGCTGGGGACGTGGTTCTGGGGATTGAATTGGGGTCAGCAACATACAGGGCAAATGACTTTTTTTTTTTTTTTTTTGTTTTTGGGTCACACCCGGCGATGCTCAGGGGTTACTCCTGGCTCATGCACTCAGGAATTGCTCCTGGCGGTGCTCGGGTGACCATATGGGGTGCTGGGAATCGAACCTGTGTCGGTCATGTTGGCTGCGTGCAAGGCAAACGCCCTACCCGCTATGTTATCGGTCCAGCCCCGCAAATGACTTTTTTAAAAAGTATTTTTTGTGGGTTTGGGACACACTCAGTAGTGCTCAGTTCTTTTTTTTTTTTGTTTAGTTTTGTTTTGTTTTTGGACCACACCTACCTGTGCTCAGGGGTTACTTTGGCTCTTCACTCAAGAATGACTCGGGGGACCATATGGAATGCCTGAGATCGAACCTGGGTCAGCCAGATGTAGGACAAACTCCCTCTCTGACTGTTCTATCTCTTTGGCCCTAATTTGTTCTTTTAGCTTTTGGTTCTAGCCTATAATTGAAATGAGTTGCTTTGTGGGGCTAGAGAGATAGTATGATAGGTAAGGTGTTTTCTTTGTGTGGTTCCCATGTGGTTCCCCAGTCTGGATACAGCTAGGTGTAGTCTGAAAACAAGCAAAAAAAAAATCAGTTACTTTTTTTTTGTTTTTGTTTAATCTTCAGACTTTTCCATTTTTTGATTTTTGGTTCACACCTAGCAGTGCTCAAGACTTAACTCCTGGTTCTGCTCTTGGATAGTTCCTTGCAGGGTTCAGGGGACCATATAGGATGCTGGGGAACCAACCCAGGTTGGTTACATGCAAGGCAAATGCGCTGCCTGCTGTACTATCACTCCAGCCCCAAGACTTTTAGGTTTTGGACCAGGCCTAGTAGTGCTCAGGAACTACTCTCAGCTCAGTGCTCAGGGATCTACTAGCATGAGCTCAGATCTAAGAGTCTGATCTAAGAGTCAAGTGTTCTTAATTTTTATTTTTATTAATTTTTTCTATTTTGGGCCACACGTGGGCCAAATTGTTTGCTCTTCACTCAGGATTAAACGTTGGTGGGACTTGGGGAATCATGTGGAATGTTGGGGATTGAAGCTGGGTTGCCTTGTGCAGGGCAGCGCCCTCCCTGCTGTACTATGACGCCTGCCCCTGAAAGTTTTTTTTAGTGGTGCTATTGACGGGCACCCAAGGCCTCACACACCTGTACCAGGCCCGGTATTCTGCCATTGCGCTGTGTCCCTCATCCTTGGGATATTTATTTAGCTGAGGATTTTAAAAAATGAAGTCATTCTCAGTGCGAATTTTAACTGAACATTATGGTTGAGAGACGTGTGATTAAAACGAACGCTTCGATTTTGGAGTCACAATGGCAGCGCTCAGGAAACTGTGTAGTACTGGGGATTGCTCCCTTGTCTCCTTTATGGAGAGCATATATTTCAGTCTGTTGACATCTCTCTGGCCCCTAGCACTAATTCCATGTATCCATATGCCTGTGATGTCTTTTCCCAGGTCATCTTATTAAGAGAGGTCTCACCTCACTCATGCATTTGCATTGTATGATACTTTAGAAAATCCTGACTTAGCAAATACTGTATATGTATTTTCTGTTCTGTCATCATACTGTGATAGGATAAAGTTGCTCATTATGGAAAGTAGGAGTAATCATTTTGGTTGTACCTCCTTACTGGAATTAGAGAAAGACATAATTTAAGGTCTGTTGTTTTGAATTTTTAAAACATTATTTATTTTTGTTTTTGGACCATACCTGGCATGCCCAGGGCTTACTCCTGACTCTGCTCTTTGTTACTTGGGGGACCATATGGGGATCCAAACCTGTGTTGGATCAAGGCAAGGAATGCAAGTCAGGCAAACGCCTCACCCACGGTACTATGACTCCAGCCCCTGACTATCTTGCTGTAAGCAAACTGCCTCTTGTTAGAAATGAGCAGCCTCTCCTGTTTATGCTCATCTACTTGCCCATTACTTTTTCTGCATATGGTGATTGTAATTATGGTCCGTAATACAGACCTGGAGCTTTTAATTGGGTTGATACCATCTGATCCCTGCCAGTGTGCCTGTGTAATGTACTGTGCTTTGTGTGGTGTAGCTGCTTGGGTAAAAATCTTGAAGCTAGGAAAGTGGGTTCCCAGAGTTTAAAATGAGAACAACTTATTTGGGGGACGGGGGCTCATACCTGGCTCTACTCAGGTCTTTAATTTTTGGCTTTTTGGGTCCCACTTGGCAGTGCTCAGGGGTTACTCCTGGCGCTGCACTTAGGAATCATCCTGGTGGTGCTCGAGGGACCATATATGGAATGCTAGGGATTGAACCTGGGTCAGTTGTGTACAAGGCAAACACCCTACCTGCTATTGTCACTCCAGCCCCTTATTCAGGTCTTATTCCTGGGTCTGTGCTCAGGGATCACACATAGTGGGGTTCAGAGGACCCGATGGAATTCCAGGGATTGAACCCAGGTCAGTCATCTGCAAGGCAAGTAATATCTCTGCTCTACAGCCTGCCTAGCCCCTCTTGACTTTATTTTGTTGTTTTGATTTTGGGTGTTTGGTCCACATTGTACTACTGCTCTGGCCTCACAGAGATAAAAGTTTTTCTTCTTTTGAAGTAAAAGGTTTTATTTGGAGGTTTTGAAGGGAAGGAGGAAGAGAAAGTGGAAGAAAGTGGAGTGTATCTTGCTCAAGCGAGAACCTGGACTTCTTCAATGGTGGAGAGAGCCCCTACACACATCCCAACGTTAGACAGCATGAAAGTACACATCTCAAGAGGGGAGATTTCGATGACACATTTGCTTGGGTGCCACATGTGCTCCATCCACATGGGTGCAAGTAGCACATGGGTTCAGGCAGCATATGTGTGCCAGAGATAAAGTTTTATTAGGATTTTTGTTTTTCTTTGGTGGGGTCATACCTGGCAGTGCTCTGCATTCCTGGCAAGGTTCAGGGAACCGAATGGAGTGTCAGGGATGGAATCCAAGTTGGTTGCATGTAAGGGAAGTGCCCTCCCTGCTATTGGCTCTGTAGTTCCTTATTAAGGATTTTCTATTAAAGGTATATTTAAGAATTATGAAAACAGGCTCTTTCCAATTTCTGGAGGAGCCCACGTTCACTCTGAGCGCATTACTTCCTTCCTCTTCATTTCCCCAC